GAAAAGATGGGCTTGGACATTTCCTTTCCAGAAAGTATTTAAGTACAGATTTAACTTCAATAGTTAGAGGAATGTCCAGGTTATGTATTTTTTCTTGGATGAGCTTTGGAAGTTTGTAGTTTTTCAGTAATTGGTACTCTTTATCTAAGTTGTCAAGTTTATGTGCATAGGAGTTGTTCATAGTGGTCCCTTAGTATTGTTTTAAATATCTTCTGTATCTATAATGCCATCCCAAGTTTCAGTAATTGGTAATCTGTGCATTTAATTTTTTTTCTCTGTCAGTCTTGCTTGAGGTTTATCAATTTTATTAATCCTTTCCAAGAATCAGCTTTCGGTTCCATTGATTTCTTTTTCCTATTTTTCTATTTTCAATCTCACTGACTTCTCTTTTTATTTCCTTCCTCCTGCTTGCTTGCTTTGTATCTAGTTAGCTCTTTTTTTTCTAGTTTCTTAAACTAGAAGTTTAGTGATTTGAGACCTATCTCCTTTTCTAACATAAGCACTTGGTGCTATAAATTTCCCCCTCAGCACTGCATTATCTGCATCCTACAAATTGATGTTTTATATTTTTGTTCAGTTCAAAATATATTCAAGGGAGATTACCTTGAGACTTCCTCTTTGCCTCACTGAATATTTAGAAGTGTATTTCATTCCAAGTGTTCGGACATTTTTCAGTTCTCTTTTTGTGACTGATTTCCAGTTTGATTCCATTATGGTCAGAGAACACGGTTTATATTTCATTTCTTTTATAATATTTTACAGCTTGTTTTATGATTCAGGATATGGTCTATCTTGTGAATGTTTCATGTGCACTTGGAAAGAATGTGTATTGAGTATTTTATAAATGAATCAATTAAAACAAGTCACTGACAGTATTGTTCAGTTTATATTCTTACTGTCTGTCTACCTTTTCTATCAAATACTGAGGAGTGTTGACGTCTTCAACTGTAATTGTGTATTTGTCTGTTTCTCCTTTCAGTTTTGTCCGTTTTTGCTTCATGTAATTTGAAGAATGACTGTTCATGTATAAATATTTAAAGTTTGTTATGTCTTCCTGGAGAATGGACCCCTTTATCGTGATGTAGTGTACGTCTTCATCCCTGAGAATCTTCCTTATTTTTTTTTAATTTAATTTATTTATTTTTTGGTTGTGCCAGGTCTTAGTCGCAGCAGGAGGGCTCTTTAGTTGCGGCTCACCAGCTCCTTAGTTGCAGCTCACAGGCTCCTTAGTTGTGGCATGCATGTGAGATCAAGTTCCCTGACCAGGGATCGAACCCACATCCCCTGCAGTGGGAGGTGGATTCTTAACCACTGCACCACCAGGGAAGTCCCGAGAATCTTCCTTATTCTTAAATGTTTCATTTCCACTCTTACTTTTAACCCATCTATGACATATTTAACGTAGGTTTTGTAGGGATCCTGGTGGTCCAGTGGTTACAACTCTGTGCTTTCACTGCTGAGGGCATGGGTTTGATCCCTGGTCGGGGAACTAAGATCCTGTGAGCCTCACGGCATGGCCAAAAACAAACAAAAAAAGTAGGTGTTATATCATGTCAGTAGCACATAGTTGGGGTTTCTTTTATTTGGAGTGTTTAGGCAGTTTGTTGTTATTGATATGGTTGAATTTAGGTCTGTCGTTTCGGTGTTTGTCTTCTGTTTGTTCTGATTTTTATCCTCTATTTTCCCTTCCCTGCTTTCTTTTGGAGTATCTGAACATTTTTTTAGTATTCCTTTTTAACTTGCCTATTCTATTTTTTTTTTAGATGTTGGGAGTAGGGGTTTATTAATTTATTTATTTTTGCTGTGTTGGGTCTGAGTTTCTGTGCGAGGGCTTTCTCTAGTTGTGGCAAGCGGGGGCCATTCTTCATCGCGGTGCGCGGGCCCCTCACTATCGCGGCCTCTCTTGTTGTGGAGCACAGGCTCCAGACGCACAGGCTCAGTAGTTGCGGCTCACGGGGCTAGTTGCTCCGCGGCATGTGGGGTCCTCCCAGACCAGGGCTCGAACCCGTGTCCCCTGCATTAGCAGGCAGATTCTCAACCACTGCGCCACCAGGGAAGCCCCCCTATTCTCTTTTACTATATCTTTGTGTATGTATATGTGTGTGTCTGTGTGTGTATGTATTAGTGATTGCACTAAGAATTACAATATGTGTAAGAGTCTACTTAGAATTAATATCTTACCAGTTCAAGTGGAATGTACAAACCTTATCATCATATAGGTCTATCATCTCTCCTTTTTGTTGTACTTAGTCTTATGTATTACATCTGCATACACTGAATACCCCGTCAGACAATGTTATAATTTTTGCTTTTACCCATCATATTTTAAAGAGCTCAAAGGAAAAAGAATAGTCTATTACATTTACCCAGGTGTTTACCAGTTCTGTTGTTCTTCCTAAATTCCTGAAATTTCAAGTTGCCCTCTGGTACCATTTGCCTTCTATTTAAAGAATTTCTTTGAGCAGTTCTTTTAGAGCAGGTCTATTGGTGATGAATTTTTAGTGTTTCTTCATCTAGAATGTCTTTATTTCACCTTCTTTCCTGAAGGATATTTTTACTGAAGATAGGATTCTTGATTTACAGTTCTTTTATTTCAGCAGTTTTAAAATGTCCTTATGCCTTCTAGTCTCCAATCTTTCTAATGAGAAATCCACAACTCATTCAAACTTACTTCTTCTATGTAATGCACCATTTTTCTTTGATTCTGTTCCAGATTTTTTATTAGTTTTTTTTAACACCTTTATTGGAGTATAATTGCTTTACAATGGTGTGTTAGTTTCTACTTTATAACAAAGTGAATCAGCTATACATATATCCCCATATCTCCTCCCTCTTGCATCTCCCTCCCACCCTCCCTATTCCACCCCTCTAGGTGGTCACAAAGCACCGAGCTGATCTCCCTGTGCTATGCAGCTGCTTCCCACTAGCTCTCTGTTTTACATTTGGTAGTGTATATATGTCCATGCCATTCTCTCACTTCGTCCCACCTTCCCCTTCCCCCTCCCCCCCTCAAATCCATTCTCTACATCTGCATCTTTATTCCTGTCCTGCCCCTAGGTTCTTCATAACCTTTTTTTTTTTTTTTAGATTCCATATATATGTGTTAGCATACGGTATTTGTTTTTCCTCTTTGACTTACTTCACTCTGTATGAGTCTCTAGGTCCATCCACCTTGCTACATACAAATAACTCAATTTCGTTTCTTTTAATGGCTGATTGTTATTAGTTTTTAAAAATGATACGTCTGAGTGTGGATTTCATTGGGTTTACTTTGATGTTCAGTGAGCATCTTTAATCTGTAGGATTATGTTTTGCCAAATTTGGGAAGCATTCCACCATTCCTTCCTATAGTTTTTCTGCGCCGCCTCCTTTCTGAGTCTTTGACTCAAATGTCAGATATCCTGGGATTATCTTTTGGGTCCCTGAGGCTCTGTCCATTTTTTTCCAATATTTTTTCACTTTCTTTCAGATTGGGTAATTTCTATTGATCTTCAAAAATTCACTAGCTCTTTATGTCATTTCTGTTCTCCTACTGAGCCCACCAAGTGAGTTTTTTACTTCATTTTTTTGTGCTAAAATTCCCTCCTGGTTTTAATGTTTGGTTACACTTTCTAGTTTTCCATCCTTTTGAAGAGTGTTCACCCTTATTTCAGAGCATTTGTATAGTGGCTTCCTTAAAGTCCCTTAATAATTCCAACATCTGTGGCACCTCACTGTTGGCATCTGTTGAATGTCTTTTCTCAGGAGAATTGAGATTTTCCCACTTCTTTGTATGCTGAGTATTTAGAAGTGCAAGCCGAGCAATTTCGGATGTTTGACTACATCAGATGCTGGCTCTTGTTTAAATTAAATGTACTGGTTGAGTGGTACTTTGAATTCTGATCTTCTTGCCTAGTCTGCCTGCTACCATTTACTTTTCAGAGTCTGAAAATAGTTGTTCCATTCATTCTGTCCTGGTTTTTATAGCTAAATTCAGTAGACTGCATGGAGTGTGCTTCCTCCATCTTACCTGGAAACAAACCTGTCTTGATAGGCCAATTAATTAAGCCCATAATTTATAAAAATTAAGCCTGTGGGTTTTATATAGCTGATCTTATCAATTTTTGACAGCTCTATCACATTTATGCTACTGAACATTCTTTTCCTTGTGTCACTGCCCACTGTGACACAGTCCCCTTATATACCTGGGCCTTTGGCTGTACTACACTTTCCTGTTGTCTGTCCTATTTCCCATCCCACCCAGTGACTAGTCATTTCCCTCTTATCTTCTTTCAGCCAAGAGAAGGTTGGAATTTTCCAAAAGGAACTTTGTAGAGGAGGCAGGATGAAAAGTAAACTCTGAATTTGGAGAGTGATAAGTCCAGCTCTGCACAGCACTGCCCAGACTAGAGAGCCCTTGCATGTCCTTTTCTCACCCCTTAGAGACAACTAGGCCAGGCTTATTTTGACCCATTTCACAACTGAGTCAACAGGAGTTTTAGGTATTTCAAGTGATCTCCTCCAGGTTTCTCAGTTTTAAAGCAGCAGAATTAGGACCAGGTAGATTTCCTGGCCCCAAATCTAATGTACTTACTGTAGTTTCGTGCCACAGTTTGACAACTAATGAGTCAATGATTTTGTGATTTGGCTAACCCAACTTATAGAACATTGGCCCTGTGCATTTTCCACAGCATGCTGTGGCCTGAGATTAACAGCCTGCCGCAGATCTTTGGATCTTCCCCTCAGCCAGGTGTGGGTGGCACCCACAATCTGGTAGGGTTCACAATTCTTCCCAGGATCTCATTTGTTTCCCCTTCCATGAGCTTCTATTAAATATCTACTATAGTTCTGGTACAGCCCCAAGCCCATGAGCTAGGAGGAGGAATAAAAGCATTCTCAGACTCCTGGCCCCCATGATCCCAGGGGGTCACCTGGGCTCTCTGAAGCTCATGGGGCCTGCTGGACAGCTTTAGGGTGAAGTGTCAGGGATCTGAGCTCACAGTGGTCTCCTTTCCCTCCAGTCCTCCAGGCCTCCCATGAGCAGGATAAAGAAGCCCTTACCCACTCCTTCCAGGAGGCCAAGGCGGCCCTGCAGGTGAGACGGGTTGGGCCATGTCAGTCTCTGTGATGTGGCCACCACACTGTTATATAAGCTCAGGAGGACTTGGTCTGAGATAAGGGTTGGCCTGTTTTTCAAGGACCGTTGGGAACATCTTGGAGACTTCGTGGGCCTGGTGCCACAGTGTGATTAGAGCGATGGGTGGATGCACAGGGACCTGTGGAAGCAGGAGAGGAGGTGTCCGACCCAATCTGGCTGGTCAGGGATTTCCTAGAGGGATTGAGATCTAAGCTGGAGTCTGAGGGTGGGTTAGAATTTTTCAGATGAAGAAGGGTCGGAAGAGTGCCTTAGGTTGGAAAAATAAAATAAAAAGTGTTTAAAGGCATGGAGGAAAGGGAAAAAATATAGAGTACCTGTGGAACTGAAACAAGTCCAAGATGACTGGGTATAGAGTATAAGTGGGAGATAGCTGAGGCCAGAGAGGGAGGCAAGGAGCAAACGGTGGGAGTCTGTGAGCCATAGTAAGGGGGGGCGGTGCACTACCCTAAAGGCAATGGGCAAGGTTCGGGTGGAAGAAATCCTTGGCGGGGGAGCAGTATGGAGACAGGAACGCACCTGGCAGCTGGAACAGTGATGTGACGTTGGCTGCAGGAGAAGGCGTGTAGAGGGAGCAGTGAGAGAAGAGAAGGGGCGAGGACACCGAGCCCGGTTTGCATGTATTTTGAAGGCCAGACTACCGCCGGCCTTGAATACCCTGACATCGTCCCCAAGGGTATGGAGCGGTGGGGCTGTGTCTTCCGAGCAGTGCTTGAGGTAGCTATAGAGCCTGCACTGTTGGGCAGAGCAGCAACAGACTGAAGAACCCAATGCTGACCCCTGTCTGTGGGGTGGAGAAGTCCACCTCCAGCCTTATGGGCCAGGGTTTCATCATCTCCATCCCACTCCCTTCTCCAGGAGACCACTGACAGACTGACCGCACAGCTGGAGGCCTTCCAGGCCAAGATGAAGAGGGTAGAGGAGTCCATCCTGAGCCAAGACTACAAGAAGCACATCCAGGTAGGGCAGCAGCTCACCCGCAGCTTCTCCCTCCTTCCACCTCCAGGGAGGTCCAGGTCTGGGCAACAGGAAAGGCCAGTCCCGCTTCAAGGACAGGGCTCAGACCTGACCCTCTTACCTTCACAAGGGTCTGGAAGAAACAGTGTCCCCGTGTCACTGAGGGGGAAGGTAAGGTTCAGAGAGAGGCATAGGGGATGGTCAAGTGCTCAGGCTCTGGACTCAGAACTGGCTGCAAAGAGCAAACCTACCACCTAGCACAAGCGACTTGACCTTTGTGAACCACGGTTTCCCCATCTGTGATGGTGTGAGCACAACATGCACTATTGAATAGAGTAAGATAAAGCACATTAAGCAGTTTCCATGGGCCAAGAGAGGGAGGTGACTTGTGAAAGTCAGAGCTGGGGGCAGAGTGGGTAGGAGGGAGGTCGCCCGTGCCCCGCTGTCCCCTCTGCCGGATGGTCTGCTGAGATCGCTCTGTGCTCCTGTCTAGGAGTACGGGAGCCCCAGCCAGTTCTGGGAGCAGGAGCTGGAGAGCTTACACTTTGTCATCGAGATGAAGAACGAGCGAATCCACGAGCTAGACAAGCGGCTCATCCTCATGGAGACAGTGGTCCGTGGCTGGCAGCGGCTGGTGGGGGATGGTGGGGGGCGGGCAGCTCATGCTTCTGCTTTCTGGGCACTTTCTCTGTCAGGTGTGCAGAGGGAGGGCACTTTGAGGAGGGCCCAGCCTAGTCCATACCAGCTGTGACCTGCCATCTGTGCTGGCCCTTGAGCCGCTGAGGCTGGTCTGCGTCCAACAGTGCCTCCTTGTCATCCGGGTCCTGTACATTTCTTGACTGACGCTGGGCAGGTAGCCGGGCTAATCAGGAGGGGCTGGCAGATGTCACAGGTCGGGCAGGGGCTGAGGAAGAAGTCAAGGCTGGAGAAAAAAAAAAAAAAAAAAACATCACTTCCTGTGGGCAAAGCTATACCATGGGGCTCGACATCTTTTGGGTCATGCCTACACAAAGGCTAGGGGAGAGTCAAAGTGATGAGCAGAAATGTTAGGTCCAAAATATTGGAAGAGCTCAGCCTGACTGTTCCAGGGATCTTAAGTAGCTCAAGCAGAAGAAGAAGAAAAAAAAAAAAAAAAAGACAGATTTGGAAAGCCAGAGTCAGCAAGGACAGGCCTGGGCAGTGGTGGGCACTGGGGACACAGGTGGCTTTGTCTCCAGGAGAAGAGCGAGGCCTTGGGAACCTAGGGTTGAATCCAAACGGATTATGTTACGTTGTCCTGGAAAAAGTTCCCTGTCCTCTTGTGTGGCGCACAACCTAACTTTTAAATCAGACCATCTCAGAGCGTCCCTATAAATTTTTTTCAACCATTTCTGTGGAATAACATAGCAGATACACTTACATTTTTATACATTAGATACTTCTGACTTTTGGAGAACCAAAATACTCTTGTGAACTGATGGAGATTTTAAATAGTAGTGGCGCTCTTCTTTTTTTTAATATTCATCTGGCAAAGTGAAAAGCTGGCAGTCCTGTGTTCATGCCTTAGCTGTATTGTTCCAAGTAATCTTATTGCTTCACGAAATGTGACATTTGGTCTCAAGTAAATCAGTGTTTTCAGTGACCACAGATAAGAGGGAGGTGACAGCACACATTGTGTCGAGCGAGGTTGGTGGCTTTCTGAGCTTGCTCTTATTTGTCACAGAAAGAAAAAAACCTGCTGTTGGAGGAGAAAATCACCACCCTGCAGCAGGAGAACGAGGACCTCCATGCCCGAGGCCGCAACCACATGGCTGTGTCCAGGTAGCTGCTCCCACCCCCCTCCTCCCATCCCCACCGCTTTTTTTGTGAACTTCCAGTTAAGAGAGTCTCCAAGAGGCCCTGGGAATGGATTGACGTGGGCCCAGGCCTGTCTGGGGAATGCGGCTCCTCTTTGCTTGGGGGTCAGCAAAGGGAAATCCCAAGGGACCGGCTCTGGCCGGAAATAGAAGTCACAGGGCTGATTAATATCTGTTTGTCTCCATCCTGGCTAAGTGGGCTCCATGGGAAAGCCCAATCCAGGAAGAAGGAAGCGGAAGCGTAGGGTTCAAGAGGCCCAATGAATGAATGAATCAGTTGTAAGGGATCCGTAAATAAGAACTAAGATCATGTGTCAGAGGTAATTTGTTGACTACACATTATCTCATCTAATCCTCATAATTACTCTAACAGCCAGTCCTGTTATCATTCCCATTTTACAAATTCACCAAGAGTGAATACCTTGCCCAGAGTTACACGTCTCAGTGGTGGAGCAGATCTGAACCCAGAGCTGTCTGCTAAACTTCAGACAAGCCTAGAATGGGACACTAGGGCCGTCTGTTCAGTTCCCTCAACTGGTTCAGAGGCTGAGAAAAGGCCGGGGTGGGAGTGGGGCTTTGGGGGGGGGGTGTCTGAGGG